CCCCGGGGGGGGGGGGGGGGAGGTGCGGGAGGGTCCCACAGGGCCGATCCCCTGGCAGGTGTATTCTCCTTCACGCCGCACTGGCAGCCTCCTGAACCAGGCCCCTCACCCACCTTCCCGCTTCCCAGGGGAAGCCACGACTTACTTATCGCTGATCTGAATGTACGGCTCCTCACAGCGGATGGGGTCAATGCACTTGAACCCCCCTTGCAGATTGTAGCAGGTCTGCTGCAGGGTGCACGTGTGGTTTCTGTGCTCGCACTCGTTGATGTCTGAAAAGCAGGGCAGAGGAGAGGCTGAAGCAGGGCAGTGTTCCCAGGGTGCTGGCCCTGGGCCAGGTGGAGGGGGTGCCCTGGGGGTGCGGGCTGCCTGGGTCTGACTGCAGAGCTGCACAGGCCAGGAGGGCAGCCACTGGCCACATGGGACCACTGAGCACTGAGAATGCGGCTGGTCCAAACGGAGGTGTGCCCTGGTCAGTGGAAAAGACACGAGATTCCGACAACTTCGTACAAAAGAACATAAACTATTAATGATTTGTATATGGAGTACGTACATGTTGGAACATTTTAGATACATTGCATTAAGTGAAATGTAATCTTAAAATTAATTTTACCTGTTTCTTTTCACTCTTTTAATGTGACTCCTGGAGAAATTTAAATTACATGCATGGCTCCCATTTGTAGCTCATGTATTTCTATTGCTTGGCACTGCGATGGAGGATTCTTGCTGGTGTTGGGGCAAGGCAGGTGCAAGAAGGCTGAAGTGGTCAGCCGCTCAGCTACCAGCCTCCCCTACTGGCCCCGGTGGGTGGAGCATGGAACTGGAAAATGGCCAAGTGTAGGATCTGAATAAGATCCACCCTTACTCAGCATGGGGTCCCGACCCTTTGAGGGACAGAGCAGTCAGATGGGTGAGGTCTCCCTGGCATCCCTTCTCTAGGAAGTCAGTAGAAAAAGGTTGACCAGGAGGCCCCAGGGGCCATGAGAAAGCCTGGGCTCTGGTTGCTCAGGTCACACAACGTCCCAGTTAGGTTGGGAGCAGCCCTCAGAGAGCCCGCAGATCTGCCGAGGCAGGCAGGACCAGCGCTTGGCGGATGCCACCTCTATCCGCAGAGTTCATTTACAGAAGCGCGAGCGGTCATGTCCTTTCTGGGGCCAAAGGATGAATCACAGGGCAGAAAGGCACCGGCCCAGGCATCCTGCCCAGAAACTGCCACTCTGGGAGCCGCCAACACCCACTCATGCTCTCACCCCTGTCACCTTCCCGAAGCGGCACAGGAGTCCCCAGGTGAAGACATCTGAGCCAGCCCCACCTTACATCCCCCTCCGCCAGGCCCCTCCGGCCGGCCTTACCCTGGCAGCTCCGGTTGTCATCCAGCAGGATGTAGCCAGGGGGGCAGGAGCAGAAGTACGTGCCGGGCTGGTTCACACACTCGTGTTGGCAGAGGAACTCGGAGAAGCTGCACTCATCCATGTCTGGGGGAGAGGGAACAAGTTACACCTGCTGTTTATAATCACAGACTCCCTGGAGGTGGGAGCTCAGTGGCCGTCTACTCCTGCTTCCACACCCTCGGACACGTGACAGCTTTACTGCTAAGAAGCTGCCAATTTGCTTCTTAAATATGTCTGGTGACGGGGAGCTCACTACCTACTGAGACAGCCCATTGATATTTGGACAACTCTGTTAGGAAATGAAATCTCTCTCCATCGAGCTTCCCACTCCCTCTGCCTCTGGCCCTGCTACATTGCTGACTCACTGTGCCCTGCAGGTGAATCCACCCTCCCTCTCTGGAGGTGGGATTTGTTTGCTCGCTGGAGTTTTCTGGTTACAGAGCTCTTCCTCGGAACCCCAAAATGACTCACTGGCCCTGGTCTTCTAAACGGGCAAGTTTATTAATTGTCCCAAGTTGAAAAATCATATTATTCCTAAAACCACAACGGAAAGGGACATAGCCAGAAAGCCAGGGGGTGTCCATTATATCAAAACGTCCTTATGTCCAAAAGCCTCCTTGGAAGAGAAAACTCTAGAGGGGCATCGGCGGGCGGGCACCCCGTGGCTCAGCGGCCCGCCTGCCTGTGAGGGCCTCTAACCGCAGGCGGTGCAGTGGCTGCAGAAGCAGGCGTCGCAGCAAAGCCCGCTCTTTATCACACACGGAGTTTGGCAGCGAAGCCCCCGTTTGAGCGTCATTCAACCAACAGGCCAAAGAAAACATGTTTTCATCTCATCTGTTGTTTCCCGAAAACTTGCTTTCACTCGTTTCCCCCTGTGACATGTCCTCGGATTGCTCTCCAACTCACAGACCGCTGACGGCTGGGATCACCCCGAGTGGGTGTCAGCTTCTCCGCCATCGGATAATCCGGGTGTTACATGCCTGATGCCTCTCGCATCCTTACAGTCTCTCTCGGGACCTTCAGGTGATGGGTTATGAGCCAGCAGAACTGGGATGCGGATTTGAAAGCTAACACATGCGCAGTGAGATCCGCTTCTGCCATGGCCCCTCCCAGTCCCCTGGGAGCCCCGCCCACCATAACAAAGGGTGTCCTCACTCTTCACAGACTCCTAGACTGCATACGAGGCTCCCATTTGTGGCTCCCGTTCTCTCTCTATGGCCTGGCAGCGCTGGGGAGAATTGTCACTTGGTGTTGGGGTGAGGCAGGCTGAGGGAGGCGGGAAATGGGTCAGCGTGTGGATTGGTTCAGACCTTCGGTAGAAGCAGTAGTAGCCCCTGGCAGTTCCTGAGACTTGCTATGTACCAGGCACCCAATTAAATGCTTTACCTGCCTCATCTGATTTAATCCTCACCTCAGCCCGTGGAGGAGGTGCTATTAGTAGCCATGCGTTACAGGGAAAAACTGAGGTTCGGTAACTTACTCAATTCACAGATAATGACTAACCAGTAAAGTGGGGCTCTGAACCCAGCCAGCCGCCAGATCCTATCCTTGTCAACACCATTCTGTAAGGCCTCCCTGAGTCGATCATACTGGGGACTTAAAATGGATGGACTTGGGGAGTCCTGAGGTTGGGGAACATCCCCCAAGTAGGGTGAGCTCCTGTGCAGAGGAGATGGTAGCACCCCTCCCCACCTCCCACCAGGCAGCAAGGGGCCGTAACAGACACACTCGGTGTATCTTAGGATTTGCAATCCCCAGACCTAAGAGCTGAAATACGAGCCCAGTTTCTGGCAGGGAGCATGCAGGAGGCCCCTTTCATTCATCCACCTGAAAACCCACCATGGTTTCCAGGACCAGCTGGGCTTCCCAAATCCCCGAGGGACAAGGGGACACGGCTAGGAAGGGCCTGGTGCCGCATGGAGGGGCCTCACTGGCTGTGATAATAGTGAGGGTGACATTTCCTGGGGAAAGTGATTAGCAGAGAAAGAGGGGAAGTAGAAGAGACGGGACATAAATTCTGTGTCACACTACTATCCGAAGCCAGCCCTAAAGCCCTCAATGACCAGGGGTCATGGTCACTCTAAGTCTGAGGAACATGGGCATCTGGTGGATGTGGAGAAGTTGGCCATTTTAGGTGAAGCCAGGCAACGAAAACCCCCTGCCAAACCACCGAGGAGGTACCCCGCTGAAAAGCCAAAGGTCTCTTCCACTTCCGCTTAGAGAAAGCACGTGCACCTGCAACGGCACTTAGCTACACCAACATGTCTAATCCTGGTGACCACCCCATGAGGGTGTTTGTTTTTCAATGAATGAGGAAACTGAGGCTTAGGGAGTGACCTGGCCCGGGAAAGCACTACACAGGAGAGCCAAAATTTGAACTCAGCTCTGTCTGGCTCCACCACACGGCCTCTGCGGATGGGAATAAACCCCTGTGGACGTGCAAGGAACTCTAGAGACACAAATGACCCCATCTCCTGAGGCTAACCCTCCCACCAATTAGTTCCTTGGCCCAGATGCCCCAAGGAGTGCCATGCGGGAAACTGAAATCTAAAAAGAAAGTAGCTTTTCATGCCTGAGGGTATTTTGTTACCGTTTCTGGGCTGACATTTAATGGGTGGAAGGCTCCCTGTCACTGCCTACTCGCTGCCCTGGCTTTCCCGGCCCCTGGGAGAGGCGCTCGTTTGTTTCAGGGAACTCTGTCCCCAGACACTCCAGCCTGAGTGGAGCTATCACACAGTCCCATCTCGACCCGGGGCACTTCCTGTCACAGTGAGACCCAGGATTAGGAAACGCTCCATCCTGCGAGACAGAAAGGTTTGCACACCCTCGGGCATGGCAACCACTGGTTTTGAAAAATACAGCGAAGCATCATTAATTCGGCCTGCGCTCGTTTACCACTGATGATGATGATGATGCCAAAAGGGGATGGGTTGGGGCTTAATTCAACATTTACCAAACAACAAAAACAACAACCAAAACAAGGGGGGAGTAGGGGAGAAAGAAAAGAAGGAAGGAAGAACGAAAGAAAGAGCTGTGCATGGCTCTGTGCAGGATGCTAATAAATAGGAGTCCGATGCGGTCCCTGTTTTCAAGGAGTTGACAAGAGTTGACACGTTTCTTATTACAAGGGATCAGAAGAAAATTAGGACAGAATCCACAGTCCAGCATGGGCAGAGAACCAGCTTCTTATTGGGCTTGGAAGGGATTTATAAAAGGCTCAACCAAGCCGTCACATCTATGTTCTCACAACAAGTTAAGGGCTCGTTCATTCACTGTTCAACCATTCGCTCATTGATCTGACAACTACTTATTTCATGCTCGCTAGGTGCCAGGCCTGGGGCTGGGCACCGAGTGTTTGTAGAGATTTTAGAATTTCTCAGTGTTTGCACTTACATACATGACCTCATTCTCTCCACACGCCCCTCCTGACCCGACCGTATGAGACAGACCATTGTTCCTGGGCCACTGCCCTGTGTCAGCACCGTCTGTGCTATCCCCAGGACCCGAGTCACTGCTGGGTGAGGACAGAGAACTCAAACCCACGTGCACAATTGGGTGACACCTCTCCCTCTTCGCCCCCATCTCAGACTCTGAAAGGTCACCCCATTGGTTTTTGCATTTGGCCTCACACCACCTTTCCGGAAGTGACTCATCCCCGTGTTGTGTGGTTGTGTCCCAAACTGGAGATGTTTCTGGGCAATGAGAGGAAACACCTGTGAAGGAAGCCCTGGACCGCCACCCCTCACCCCTGCGCCCCTAGGACAGGTGGAGGTCTCCAGGACTAAATAAAACCCATTACCACTGCAACGAACTCCGTCATCCTCGAGTTCATATCCTGGGTCACAGCGGCAGATGAAGGAGCCGTAGGTGTTGACGCAGGTCTGCACGCAGGGGTTCTCGGCCGCACACTCATTCACGTCTGTGAAAAGCCAGAGCGCGTCACTGACGGTTCCCAAACAACGAAACTACGCAGATAAACATGCACTGGCAACACAATCTGCTGTCCCTGGGGGACCAGGTCCACGGGCCGCGAGGTTCTCCACCTGGGACCTATCAGACTGAGGAGTCGGCCCCCAGAAGTGTTCACTGAAGAATCAGGGGCTCCACCCATAGGCCCCTCTGGAGTCATGCAGGGGGAAGGGTAGAAACAACATGTATACACGTCCCATACATGTGTGCACATGTACGTGTTTATACCTCCTAGGAAGCCCACTCTCCAAGGTCACCAACAGGAATTTCTAAGCAATGTCTGCTCTTTCCCGCCACCTGCCACATTCCATTCCCAATGAACTCTGCCCTCACTCCCACTGACGTTGACATTACAGGTAAACACAAATAACTGTGACAATTCTAATAATAACTCTATTTATTACTGCTATGGAATGAATTGTGCCCCTTCTCAGCCCCCTCCCCCTCCTTCCCTCCGGCCAAGTTTAAGTTCACGTTGAAGCCCTAACTTCCTATGTGATGGCATTGGGAGCTGGGACCTTTGGGAAGCACTTAAGCTTAAGTGAGGTCCTAAGGGTGGGGACCTCCTGAGGGAATTAGTGCCCTCATAGAAAGAGACACCAGAGACTTGCTCTTGCTCTTTCTGCCGGGTGAGGATTCAGAGAGAAGTTAGCCAGCGACCAGCCAGGAAGAGCGCCCACGAAAGCCCCTGGCCATGCTGGCCCCCCATCTTGTACGTCCAGCCTCAGAACCCATGAGAAATAAATTTCTGTTGTTTCAGTGCCCCAGTCTATGATATTGTGTCTGCCCAAGTTGACTGAGACAATGATGCATAAATAACATCACTGATAATAACGGAATCTCAAGTTCACAGAATCCTCACAACAAACCTGCTCTAGGGCCACAGCCCCAAGTTCAGTAGGTTAAGGCGAGGACCACAAAGAAAACTGTTAGGGATGATGGAATGTTCATTATCTTGACTGTGGTGATGGGTTCATGGGTGTATACATCTGTGGAAGTTCACAAAAGCACGTTCCTTGCACTGTGCAGTTCATTGTACGTCAATTACACATCAGCAAGATGCTCACGTTTGTATTAAGGCTGAGAGATGTACCCAAATCCCCAAGCTAACAAGGGTGCAGTTGTGACTGGAACAGGAGTTAAGGGTCTTTCCCTAAAACCCAAGACTCCTTCTGCACAGCTGATGGAGATGGGGAGGCGGACTGGGGAGCCCCCTCCTGCACTAGCATTGGCTGCCCAGCTTAAAGCACACTCTCTCCCATGCTCCTTACGCCAGTGACCAACGTTCCAGCCGAGAGAACTTCTGTCCTCTTCGAACGTCCCGGCAACCCTCTTAAGACTCTGAATAGAGATGTGAGTGTTTCCAGAGTTAAAAGCCTTCCCAATGAGTAGCTTTGAGAAGCTATTCTTAAAGGGGAGGGATAATTCCATGCCCAGATACTTCCTGCTTCCTGGAACCCCTCGGAGCATTTTAGAGAAAGAAAAATAATAGTTGGCCATGCCGGGTGGGTCCAGTGAGATACCCATGTCCCCTGGTGCCCATGGGGGTTTGGAGGCTCTCCGCCCGGGAGGCCAGGAAAACGTGGTGGCGCCAGGCTGTGGAGGCAGGTTCAGGCAGGACGGCGCTGGTGAGCATTAGGGCTGGCACTTGTGGCTTCCAGCCGGACACTGGGCACACGGAGATGAGCAGACTCCAGTCCCACCCTCTCTCTCAGCTGTTTCTGCAGAGCAGCAGGACCCAAAGGATCCTGCCCCGGGAACCCTGGCTGCCCTTCCCCGCCAGCACCAGGAGCCACACATGTCCAAATCCCTCTAGGTCCTGTGGGAACAGACCGCACCCGCTCCACTGCTGGGCAGGAAGGCCAGGCCCTTCGTCTGCGCTCAGCTCTGCCACCACCTGGCTGAGGCACTGGCCAAATTGCTTAACCTCTTGGCTCCTGGATTTCCTTGTCTGTGCAGAGAGCCACACACACCTGCCCTGCCTCCCTCGTCCAGGCCATTGTTGGGATTCAGTGAAATGAACAGATGGGACAATGCTTGGAAGAGGGCAAAGCACACTTCCTCGCACAAGGTGTTAGAATTACACAAGCCCCGTGCAGTTGGGAACATTTGTGTCACCTGCGGGCCCAGCTGATGCAACATCCCAGTGGCCCAGTGCCCGTGTCCAGGTCTGGGTGCTGTGCCTGCTGCCGGACTTGGCACCGCCAGGCGTATTATCTGCTCCTTGTCACAGGCCTGGCCCTGAGAGGCTCAAGGACACATGGGACTTTGGCCTCTGCTGCGCCTGGCTGTTCCTCAGGGGGTGTCGGGTGCACCAAGCCAGACTCTCGGGGGGGGGGGAGGGTGGAGGATAGAGAAGGGGTCCTGGGCTGGCACGTCCAACCCCCAGCCTTGGCATGGAGACGCCTGGATCTGCCCTGAGCTGCTTATCACAGCAGCGAGGGAGCCAGGCGCCTGCTCCCGCTCCAGGGACAGGGGAGGGCCCTTGCTCTATCGGCCCCTCGACCGCCCAGCCCCGTCTCCACTCCCAGAAGAAAATGACCTCTGCTGACGAGAGGAGCCTTGTTGGAACAATCAGCAGAACCAGCTCTGGACGGGAGACTTCCAAAGAGTCCAGGATCACGCTCTTTAAGGCCGATGCCTTCCTGTTTACCCAACGATTTAGATGCGATTAAATGGAGACATAATATCCTCCAACTAGCTGGCCAGAAGCCCGCCAGCCAGGCCTCTGGTGGTATGACAAGGAAATGGGCCCTGCGAAACCTGGTGGCAGCTCCAGACAAAGACCTCATTCTGAGTCCCCGGCACTGCCTCCACCCTGGACGGAGCAGCTGCCAGGGCCCGGAGGCCCCGGCCGGGGGCTGGGGCGGGCGGGGAGCCGGCGGCCAGGCCAGGCGGGACCTGCACTAATTCCTCGAATCTTAAGTCCCCCATTCATTTCCTGAGCGGGAGAAACCGGCAGATGGAAACCACAATAGGCACGGGGATTGTTTTTCTTACTTATCAGTGCTCGAAGCGATCATGTGAAAACCAGAAAATGCCTCTGTTCCGTCCCGTTTCTGTGAGGAATGCTGAGTGGTAGGGGACGTGACCGCCGCCACCAGACCCTTTGCTAAGTAACAGGCCCTCCTGGCGTGGGCTGAAGGGGAAACTGTAACACGAGGCATCAAAATTGCCCACGAAACCCCTGCACAGAGTGTGCGTGTTTATTTCGCCATTCATCAAGGGTCGGGTCAGGCGTTCTTTCCGACCACCCCACTTTGGCCCAGGAATTGGACTGAGGCTACAGGATACGCAAGAACGTTTCTGATGAGCCAAGCAAGCCGGCGAGGCTGCTTGCTGCTGGACAGCAGACAGAGAAGCCAGCCCATGAAACCGTAGCTCCCAGCTGACGGATGGCTGCGCTTCTCACGCCAGCAATGCCCAGAGCGCTCCTTGACATGCATCATGCAACCTCCGTTCAGGTCTCGGGTTTCCGTAAGCAAGGAGATGCTCGGGCAGTGACACTGGGCGGACAAGCGCTTTAACAGCGCGGCCTCTCCCACCCGCAGGAGCTGTCAGGCTCGGCAGAAGACAGCCTCTCGTGTTTCACGGCGTGTTCGAGTTACCGTTCACGTCGCATACCTTGGCAAGACCTTCCATCCTCGTTGAGGGTAAAACCAGGGTTGCAAGTACAGGAATAGGATCCAGGAACATTCGCGCACAGCTGCTGGCAATAGCCATAGCGACATTCATCAATGTCTGGAAACAGAAACACGCAAGGTAAGACATTTCTTCTCCATCGCAATGCCCCCCATCTCTTCCGCCGAGAGATCTCGAAGGGAAGCCAAGGAGACCCGCCGTGAAGACCGTACCTACTAAGTGTCAGGGCTGGTGACACTCTGGATTCCAAGGCTCGATCTCCCTACAATCCTCCCCGACCCATCTTGGTCCCATGAACACCCGACCCTATCTTGAAAGTTGTAGAGGAAGATTTTGCTTAGAGTGGGCAAGATGGCCGCTCAGATTTTATCCACGTTAAGAGTCCACTTTAAGATTGTATATAAGTGGGACACATTAGCTCAAAGTATAAGAAGAATCTATAGCCTCGCTCCAATAGACTCCTCACCAGCTCCATCAACAATGACTATGCCCAGGTGTCAGGAACAAGAACAAGTGTGGGGGAGGAGGAGCTGGTCACACTACGGTCTGGAGACCCACGGATCCAGTAACACCAGGACTCCGGAGCTCACCGGGGATCTCCTCCTTGCACTAGAGCGGACATACAACTCTGCCTAAACACACCTCTTCCAAGCCACGGCTGGTCTTTCCTGAGCAAGCCGCTCTGCGCATGAATGGATCCTTTCAGCAGAGTAGGCAATCTGACCTCCCTGCAAACATGGACCAGTCCATGGGGAGCCTGGTGTCCCTGGGGAAGCACTTCTCAACCCCCCAAGTTGATGGGCTGGAAAATTGACTCCTGTGAGATAGGATGTCTTGAATGAAGCCTACAGGTGGAGACAGAGTCCTCACCTATACAAGCACCTGCTGTGACCGATTGATCTGACTGTAGCTGTAACTGGTTCTTGTCTCATCTCCACTTCCCCCTAAACCAGTGGTTCTCAACCTTGGCTGCACATTAGACTCACCTGGGAATCTTTTTAAAATCCTGATTTCTGGGCCGCATCCTCCAGAAATTCTGTTTCTTTGTTACTAATGTTGTGGCCCCACCCCATAACCAAGAAACAGAATTTCCGGAGGATGAGGCCCAGAAATCAGGATTGTAAAAAGATTCCCAGGTGATTCTAATGTGCGGCCAAGGTTGAGAACCGCTGCCCTAAACGAACCACATCCCTCCCGGGCACCTGGTTCCCAGGGGCCATCCGGCTCTCCAGAGGCCAGCTCAGAACCTCAGTCCCTGTGCCTAGTTCCTACCACCTGCTGCCAGAAAGCACCCCACTTGCACCTCACCTATTGTCTAACCTTCCTAGAGGCTGTGCCTTGCTCTTGTGCTTCTGTTTGACCTCTGAGTCCCAGCTACCTCTACCCTGGCACACCCCACTGCCCACCGGGTGCCTGGCAGCTCCTGCTTAGAAAGCACAGTGACTTGTGCAGTGGCCGGCCCACCTCTTCCCAGGGTGCAGTTGGACACATCACCAGGGACAGGAGGCAGCAGGGAAAGGAGAAGACATCCTAGGGGACCTTGGAGGAAAGGCAGCCCCCAGCCCCTCCTTTTTCTCCAAAAGCAGTGCCTCCAAAGGTGCACAGAAGGGGTGGGGGACAAGGCTATGGAACTTGTGTCTTTAAAGAGAAAGAAAAAAGTTTGGCCTGAGAATGGCAAGTGTTCAGGAACAATTAGGATGTGAAGTGCATGTGGCACCAGGCAAACCTGTCAGGCCTCCAGGAGCCCCTCCCAAAGCTGCACACTCGGGGGCCAGGAACCACCCTCCCGGGTAGAGGAATGTCCCAGTGTCTGGCCACCCTCAGATCAGAGGGGTTTCCTCTGTATCATCAGTCCAGCCTGTGTCCCCGACACCCGATCCTCTCTTGCGCCCCCTGGTGGCGGAAAGTAACTGGACTGAAGAACAGGAGGTGGGTTTTAGACCGAATTCACTTTGTCCAAAATGTCCCTCCGCGCTTGAGTCTCAGTTTCCAACTGCATAAAAGTTGAATGACATAATATCGAACGTCCCTTCCAGCTCCGAAATTCTACATATTAAGTTCCTGCACAAACAACTCACAATGATGTGCTTATGTTCAAAGCAGCGGCATCAAATTTTCCATAATAGCGGAGGTTGGTTAAAACGCACAGCGACCATCACATTCACACATGCCGTGTGCAGCCAGCTCTCTGGTGCATGTCTGGAAAGGGGAACCGCGCCAAGTCTAGGCTGGCTTATCGGGCCCCCAGGAGGCCGCAGACAGGGCCCTGAGGCCGCCCTAAACGCAGTCTCGATCGAGAGAGACTTGGAAAAAAAAGAACCTTCTTTTTTTGTTTCCATGATGTCGTGTGGATTTGTTTCTCGGCTCCTCCAGGGCTGACTTTGGGGCAACAGGACGGTGTCTCGGAGAATTGAACCTGGCAGGGCTTCTCCAAGAAAACAGCATAGAAACCACACCCCAGAATAGAAATTGAACTGACAGCGAGAGATGGCTATGAATTCATTCACTTGGCGAGACCGAAAACTACAGGGAAAGAAAGGAAAATAACCCTCCAGTGAAAATAAACAGAGAGACCATAGAGCAGATGCCAACTGCAAGCAACGAAATTCTCAATTGGGGCGGCTGGCTCCTTAACAGTAAAAAAGAAAGACCAGCCAGTGGGGTGGGCATGATGGGGTGTGGGGCGGAGATGGGGTTCGCGCAGGATCTCCTGCCCCACGCGGGAGAGCTGGAGCTTGTCTGTGGCTAAGCAAAGTGTGCCCTTCTCTTAGTATGATTTCTAACTAGGACAGGTTAACTCTCTCCTCCACCCTTTCCTGCCTTGGACATAAACGTCCTGAAGGCGGGAAGAAGGTGTAGGTAAAATCAAACAGGAGCCTTTCAAGTAAATTAAAAAATTCAGATGCTGACATGGCGGAGATGGTGACAACTGATTTCAAAAGGTGGTGTGGCCCTGGCTGGTGTGCTCCGTGGTTAGAGTGGCGGCCTGCACACCGAAGGGTCGCAGGTTCAATTCCTGCTCAAGGGCACTTACCTCGGTTGCGGGTTCATTCCCTGGCCCCAGTCAGGGAGCATGCAGGAGGCAACCAATCAATGTGTCTCTTGCACATCAATGCTTCTCTCTCTCTCTCACTCTCTTTTTTCTTCCCTCCCTCTTCCTCCCTCCCTTCCATTCTCTATAAAAATAAATGGGAAAATATCTTCTGGTGAGGATTAACAACAACAAGAAGAAACACAGTGGTACTGAAACATGTAAGCTCATAGCCTTGTACCTCCACCCCCTGCAAAGCCCACCCAGCGATGCCCATTTCACAGTGACCCTGGCAACCACTCACTTCCAAGAGACCCCGTGAGCCCCGAGAGCTGTTACCTAAGCACTGGCCTTCCAGGAGCCAGTAGCCGTCGGTGCAGGAGCAGGTGTACCCTCCTTCCGTGTTGATGCAGATCTGGGTGGGGTTGCACTGGTGGGAATCGGTTGCACACTCGTCCACATCTATAACACAAACAGATTCCGAAGAATGTTACCTCCATCTGTGTAGGGCCCCGGTGCCACCAGAGGTGCCAGCTGCTTGCTTGTCTGGCTGGGGGGCAGTTGATCACATTCCTGAGTTCTACCCAAAAAGATGGGGCCACCTCCAGATGGGTGCCACTGGGAGACACTGGCCTTTTGTGGAGCTAGCCTGCTGCCCAGAAATCCACCAAAGGAAATGGCCAAGAAGGGAACACACATCCATGGCTCCTTTCCACTGCCCTCGCCCACCGTTTTCTGCAAGCAGGTCACCCTGACAATAACCATTACTGGATTTAGAAATGCATTTTGTTTCGGCTTCTCCTTTCACCTGTTATGTGGGGGTCTTTTGGGGTCTCTACTGTGTGCATGGAGCTACGATACCTCTGAGGACATAAGAGAAGAAAAGAAAGCCCTCCGCCAGAGGAAGCTTGGAATCGAGTCACTGGATTGGATCTGTCCATGAGCATCTTTCCATCTGAGGTTCCTTACCCTTCGCGATGCTTCATGGAGCCCCTAGTGCTCCCTCCTCTCCTGCGGCTGACCTCTGTGCTCTCTGCCCACACCAGGCTTGTCTACACTGTTTCATACCCATCGCTGTCTGGCTGTCTGTCTGTCTGTAGTCGCTTGTGTCTAAGGCAGTCCCGTCTTCATTGAGAGCCTCGAAGCAAAAGACCAAGCTGCAGTCACAGTCATATTTCTCACGACACCCGGTGGACACATTCAGCCTCAAAACGGTTTCAGCTGAAACGAACCCTTCTTTCCCGTCTCCCATGCTGTGTTTTAGGGAGAGCATTCAGATCCTGTAACGGGACCTCCTGACCCCGCCCTTTCCCTTTGACCTCAAGCCCTGGCTCAGCCTGGCCTCACCCCAACGTCTTTCCTCCTGCCCGTCCTGCCCTGGCCTGTCTGTGCCTTCTGTCCCTCATCACTGCAGTTCCTCCCGCTTCCCCCAGTGTGTAGTGTGCCTGGGCCCGCACAGATGTTAGTGTATTTATTCTCACACTCGCCCTGCCGATGGGCTCAGCATCCCCATCCTACAGACGGGAAAACTGCACAGGAGGAGCTCACAAGCCCAGCTGAGAGTTCAGCCCGGGCCCCCCTGACTCCAAGCCCACCCCGTGCAGGATAACAGAGGCCGTTCCGCCCCTGGGCCTGGCAGGGTCAGGAGGGGAGGGAGCTGGTGCACCTGGCAGGGGGACCACACGGAGCTGTTGCTGCCTTTTCCTGCCTCTCCTAGAGAATTGTCTGCCTCTGAATGTTGCCTATTGCAGACTGTGGTGGGAGTGGGGGGCACCGGGGGAAGCTCCCCAAGGACAGGGGTCTTCCGTGACGGGCCTGTTCCGCTGCGCGCTCAGGGAGCGAGCGTGACTGATTCAGGGAAACACTCGGCCAGGCGAGCCATGGTGTCTTGGGTTCCAGTGACACCAGCACAATCCACCTCCCACAACAAGCCAAACACCAAGAAACCGATCAGTTCCCACCCGCCAGGAACTGTGTGTCTGGGCCCCGCATGGAGCCAGCCTTCAGTCTCTAGACATGGACAGACTCCAAGAAGCTGGTTCCAAGGTGGGGGCCGCCTCCGCTCCAGCCTCGGTGGCGAGGACCAGCCCAGTTCTCAGCTGCAGGAGCTCCTGCCGCCGCACCCCCCCCCCCCAGCTCTGCCCACCTAGCCGAGCCTCCCAGGGGAACCGTGAACAAGGCTTGGCCAGCAGCCGGGCCTGCTCACATCCACACTGAAGCTAGGATAATAAATAATGCCACTATCGGCCAGAGCATATTTACATTTTTCCGGAGGGGAGTGATGGATGGCAACTGTACCCTGGGAACAACGCTGCCTTAGGAATTCGTGCTCTTTTTCCTGCCTGGAGGGCAATGCGGGGTGAGGGAGACCCAAGGCGAGCAGAGCCATGAGAGCGCCTTGGTGACCGCGAGTTCCCAAGGCTCGGTCTGTCTGTGTAGCTCACATGCGCGCCACGTGCCCGCAGGGCCCCACAGGGCCCCACAGGGAAGACCAAACACTTGCAAGTGGACCCGACTGGCTCAGAAGGGCAGGCGGGGGCCTATGAGTGCACGTGTGTGTGTGTGTGTGTGTGTGTGTGTGTGTGTACATGTGTATATGCACGGCCACACAGGCACAGGCACAGGCAAGGCAATCCCACCAAGACACACAATCTTTAAAGTTCATTTTTTTTTTAAACTCTACCATTTTTACCAAGTTAAAGAATTAACTCATTCCTGTTGATGTATGCTCACGGAACTAATTTGTAATGTTCGCTACCTGATTGAATGGACTGTCAATATAAATGTATTTTGAGAACTGAAGTGCCTGGAGCAAGCATGTCAAACTCGCGGTTGGCGGGCCACATGCCTCATTAAATGCGGCCCACCAGTTGTGAGTTTGACATGCTTGCCCTGGAGTTTTGGGTGGAGGGTGCATCCCATCTTTGTATCCTCAGAACACACGTGGTATGACGCTGTGTCCATAGTAAGTGCTCAGTAACTGTTTGGTGCGAGGATGAATGAACGCAGGAACTGCAAACATGAATGCCTCTAGACCACGGACAGATGCGTCCCAGACAGCTTGCTACCAAGCCCGTTCTGGGGTGTGGACTGGAAACACAACCAGCCCCGCCAAAAACCACCGTCCGCCACACACCCTGGAGGCGGCCACGCAGAGGGCTCCACGCGGGGCTGGAGGGCACACCACACATTCCAGCTCACAGCTGAACTGCTTATATTCAATACATTTGACTTAAATAACAGAAGGAAAAATACGACGCATCACTCCAAGGACATTCTTTGGCAAAGCGTCCACTCTGCACGGTGGAAAAGCACGCCCTGCGGCAACCTGAGTAGGTGTCGTTAGCCTCGGGCGCGCGCGGCCCGCTGCTTCCTTTCCTTCTTGTGTGATATTTAGGAAGAGGCTCCTAAGAGAAAAGCATGCTGGGTTCATTCAGGCATCTGTTCAGTCCGGCTCTCTCTTAGTCTTCGTGCTTGTGTGTGTGTGTGTGTGTGTGTGTGTGTGTGTGTGTGTGTGTTTGTGTGTCCTCCCAAACCTCCAGGTCACTCGGGAGAGCTGGCATCCAGCACAGTCCCTCCATCTGGACTGGTCCCCAAAGCAGCCTTTGCTGAGAGCCCTTCTGCCCGCTCCCTGCTCCCTCCAGAGAGCTCAGCCTGGGCACGCGGAGGATTGCACCACAGCAACTGTGGCCCCTCTCTCCCCAGGTGGGCATCCTCCACCCGCCCTCCTGGCAACCAGCACCCTGGCCGCTGGAGGAAGGAGCCTGCTGACTCCTCCAGAACCTGCAGCTGCGAGCGCCCAGCACGGCACCCGCCCAGGAACGAATCCTCCCGGGCGTGAGCAGCCCAGCTCTGCTGGCCCACGCGGCTGTGTCTGAGCTGTCATCCTGTGCCGATGTCCCTTCAGTGAAAGCAACTGCTGACTCAGTCATCGACACAGCCCACCGCATCCCTATGGCCCAGGAGGCCGCGGGATAGCGGGCCGTCCATCAGGGACACGTCCAGGGTTCATGCCACTGGCTGGGTCTCACATCTCCTCCAGACAGCAGCTTCACACGGGCAGGTGCGTGAAGGCGGGTGAATAAAGAACGACCTTCCAGTCCAGTCACGGCCTCACGGAGGCACCAGATGGAGGGACCGGCCTCGGTCATGAGGACACACTACCCAGCAACCTGGGACAACCAACGAGGGGTCTTCCAGGCTGATTTGAGCGGCAGGTGGGCGGGCCGCGGGCCAGAGACACCTCGGAGCAGGCGCCTGAGGGAAGCGAGTGGTGACGGGCAGCCGTCTGTCGGATGAACTCTCGGGACCTTGTGGTACCACGTCCCATGTCCTTCCTGGAGTGGGCGGGTTCTGAGAACACAGCATACAACCCACGTCTCTGTCCCGTGTGAAACTGAGGGCTCCGAGGACAATCCCAGTGCTAACTTGCGGGTTGTTGTACCCACATCTCCACAGGGAGGTGGAGCAATTAACGTGCTGATGTAAATATGTTGGGCTATAACTCCTCTGTGTCTGTATGACAGCTATTCATTGTATTTGAACGTGTATATGTACATCTGAATGTATATTTCATCACTTACTCCTATACGTTGAAAGGAAAACACTTAAACTGCTTTCCTAACACCAATTCTAATCGAAATAAAGTGTCCTTCAAAAACTCTAAGGAAAAACACAACCAAGCAGGAACTAGTGGCTCCTTCATGCCCGCAGGGAGCACACTTCCTAGGCCATGAGCCCAGCACCAAAGCACAAGAGGGAAAACAAACAAACAAACAAACAAAGGGCTGAGTCTCCCCAGAAAGGACGGTGGGGAAAAACATCAGAACTTGGGGGGCAGGCAGAGCTGGGTGTGCGGCCAGGCTCCTGCACGTAGTACCTACGCATCCCAAGCATCATTCCCTCTGACCTCTCAGGTGTCCTGCAAAAGAGAGCAGGCGGCCTGCCTCAGCGGCTGCCTCGAGAGGTCATCCGTGAATGTGTCCACCGGTCCCACCACCACTGCCTGGCACACAGTAGGTGCCAGGAAACTGTGTCCCCTTCCCTGGCGCGGGCTGTTCTAGCAGCCGTGAGAGGTTGGGGCAGTGGGGCTGCCGCCTCCTGCAGGCTCTGTTCTGCAATTCACCAAAGACACCAAAATGACAGGCGTGATCCGCTCTGTGGTTCAACCAGAGCCAGAGCCGTCTCCCCCCCAAGCCCAGACACGTGTCAGGAGGTTGGGACAAGATGTGCACAAAGGCCGGAGCGTTCCCTCCCGGGGTCTCGAGGTCCCCGCTGCACCTCGGCATCTCTGGGTCCATCTCTGGTCCCACGGGGGTCTGATCGGAAAGCCCGGGCGCATGGGTGTCCGACTGAATTCCACAGCCGAACATGATCACCCTCTGCACAGTCTGATTCTTCCCTCTTCCTGTGTCTCCTCTTCCCCTGTGAACAGCAAAGGGCTGACTTTGCGAGCCCGGGTC